ACCTTAACTACACCCCACAGTCCTAGTAATAAACCCCGAGGAGTCCACACTACAACATTCTGTAGCCTGAGTAAAAGTCGACTATTCAGATATAAAATAAACCAGTCTATTAACGATCGCTTAACACATAACAGCTTTGGCTTATTGGTGAGATACATTTTATTGACCCTATCAAAAGATTTTGGGAAGTTAAGGTATGTAGCATCAAGCTTCCCTCGATGGTCAGGAAAAGTTCCTTATCTAACAACTGCAGCCGACAATTTGATGACACAGAAGTAGCCCTTCCTGAAAATGTTCTATCGGGGCGAAAAGATCTTTATGTAGAGTAATTAGACATATAAATCGTTGTATATCAAGGTCCCCATAACTTTTGGGGATAGTGAGATTACCGCCACCGGACAGTAGCGCCTGCAATAAAATTGGTTTACTATTAGTTACTCGTAGGTATCAGATACAAGCGCAAGTGCTTTTTGCTAAAAACGAGCATTTCTGTAACCTGGGATGTTATAACCCTACGCATGTTTGTTCCTAACTTTTGCATATGGTATTAAAAAGAACCATGACAGGAAGCTATCCACGGTTTGTTATTATCCATAGTATCACGGATAACCCTCTGCCGTCAACGATTCAAACTAATATTGAGTGTTTATTTTTTGTGGCTAGCTCCGCCGGTAGATTGTCTAGAGTTGGTTCTGGTCCCAAGCCTCGATAAAGGAGGAGGGTTGGACACGTTGTCAGCAACCCAATCCCGAGAAAAACCATCTTGCTAAAAAAATGTTGAACAGAAAAAACAATTAAACTCTACCCTCGAAGTTATAGGTTATCCATTCACAAGAATAATTAAGCCTCGTGATGAAATCCACTCTCGGCAATTACGTAGGCACATGTAACGTCCGGAAATCTGTGGGAGACTGAGAGGTCTAGTCAAATGGCAACGGAAATGTGTAGATACAACCTGGTGGTTCTCGGGATCAGCAAAACCTATTGTACCCAAGTTGAACACAAAAGGTTAGATTCAGGAGTGGTACTGATATATTCCAGTCACAAAGAGGAAAATGCCTCACACACTCACAATGTTGTTCTGATGCACGAAATGCACTCGTAGGATAGGGATATCATAGACCCATATTCATCTAACCATCCTTCGAAACAAAGAAGGAGGGGATCACAATGCATATTATCCAATGATATGCACCAACCAATGATAACAATGATGACAGTAAAGGTCAATTCTATGGGAGGCTGCAATTAGCCACAGAGAAGTTCCCAAGAAAAGACTTCACCATCCTGATGGGAGATCTAAACACCAAAGTCGGAATGGATAACACCAGGTATCAAGATATCATGGAACGACATGAACTGGGTACTTGGAGAAAGAAACTAGAATGGTGACAGATTTGTAAATTTATGTGCATTCAACAAGATGGTTATAGGTGGAACAATATTCCCACACAAATGCAGACACAAAGCTGCACGTGTTTCACTGAATCACACCGCGGAGAACCAGATACCTTAAATTTGTATCACTAAAATATTCAGAAGGCAAATGAAAGACGTGAGAAGTAGGAGAGGAGCTAACTTAGCTTCAGATCAACACCTGGTGGTTTCCATGATAAAACTAAAGAAAATGAAACACTGGACAACTGGTGAAACAGAATTACAAAGGTTCAATACAGCGTTCCTATGACATACTGTCAAACTCAACGAATTCAATATCATTCTCAACAACAGTGGAACAAGAACAGAAAAAGTCAAGGTACAAGATGAATATGTAGTGGTGTAGTGAACAAGAACACGGGTGGGGACAATCGATTGTATTTAGCACAAAAATTACAGACTATCTCAATAAAATGTGAATACCATAAAGTTAATCGTCAATTTGCAAAATATCATTCCATCATATCAAACTGTACTGTTCCCGTTGCAAACACTAATCCATTGTCGCCCATTCCATTGTACATGCGTTTTCTTACAATTCCATTGTGCTCTTGCTCTTCCTTTCTTGATCTTCGCCATCTTCTGCTGCCGGACATTACGTTCTTTTAACGCACGTTATATACTACTTATATGAATATAAGTAGCTCACACCACAGTGGTATTGGACCATAACCACACAATCCTCAAAGCTGAATACGAGATTACTCGGAAAATAGATATTCAATATTTAACGCGGATAAATATCTAACAATGGAGAAGGCGCGAACAAGGAATCGAATGAGTTGGAGTTGATCGAATGGCATGGCTCGGCCATGCAAGCGTGGTCCCTGTTATCTTATATCTTTTATTCGTATTAAATATAATGTCCTATCTCTAGCCTAAGCTTGTTCTCCGTCACGTATTGGTAATTGATACGATACAGTGAGTTGGTGTATTCGATGGTGTGACTTCCACGTAAGATCTTATAGATTAGGCAGTTATATCATGACAAATTTACAAATTTAGGATTAGGTCTATTATTAGAGCAGTACTAATATCATAGTAGACCATAGTTCTACAAATACACATGAGCAAACAATCGTGTGATGAAGAGCATTTGAAATAACAAACAGAAATACATAAAAGACCTAGCATTGGCAGCGAAAAAACCGCAAGAAAAAGAATGGTGAAACAATTATATGACACAACGAAGAAACTAGTAGATAGATATAGTAAACCACAGTGACCGATCAAGGACAAAGAAGGCAAGACAACCATCGAGATTCAAGAACAGAGGACGAGATGGGTGGAACAATTCGAGGAACTCTTGAATATACTGGCTCCATTGAATCCACCGGATATCGAATCAGCACACACAGACCTTCATATAGATACCACTCCACCAACAGTCGAAGAAATCAGGATGGCCATCAGACAAATACGGGTGAGAAATCAACAGGACCTAAACATATACCAGATGAAGCACTCAAGTCAGATAAAGAAGTAACTGCAAGTTTGCTTCACGTTTTGTTCACCAAGATCCGGAAGAAGTGCCACCGACAGACTAGAAAGAACGATACCTCATCAAGATACTATTAGGGCGGCCTGCTTGAGCATCTGGGCTACCTGTTCCTGCCATCTAGATATTTCAACAAGTTATCTATCGTTGTTTGTTTTAATATATCATTATGTTTATTAATCGCATAACCTATTCTGCTGCGTTTCTGAAAAGTGTACAACCTTTCGTTGTCAAAGTTACAGAAAACTCAATAAGAGACAATATGGTTGCTGGCAATGTACAACGAAAAGAATGCACATTATTCAGTTGTTCATTCACTGAAGTGCTAACATCTAACTGGCGTTTTCTCAATATTTATCGCCAGGACCGACCAAGAAGAAAGAAACGGAAACTTGTTGAAATACTTTGAGCTGAGAATTCTATATTGTACCAAAATTATAATATTGAATAAAGCTAATAATAATATAAATAAATAATATAAATAAATATAAAATATAAATACTAAAGAGAGTATATTTGGGAAAATGTGAGCACTAAAGAGGAATCACACTACTGTCAGTATGAGGATAGGTTTACGACAGAGTGTTACTGAACCGGATGAAAGACTCAGTAGACGCTGAACTTCGAGATCAACAGGTCAGATTTCGTAAGAATCGGTCGTGCACAGACCATATCGTGACACTACTGATCCATCGTTGAACAATCAGTCGAGTGGAACTGGTCACTATACATCAACTTCCTTGACTATGAGTTGTTTGACAGTGTGGATAAGAGGACCTTATGGAAACTTCTTCGGTACTATGAAGTTTCTGAGGTGATTGTCAGTATCATTCGGAATCCATAAGACGGACTATAGTGAAATATCGTGCGTGGACGACAGCTGATGGAGATATTCCAAGTGAGGAACGGAGTCAGACAAGATTTCCTACTCTTCCCCTTCCTACGGTGAACCTCACCGTGACCTTGAGTTTACTTAAATGCGACTTTATTGTCAACAGCCTGGTGATATGCAACATAAACTTTTGGCGATATAGGACAGTCTGTGGCCACGGTCAGATTACAAAAGACAAGTTCAATCAGTGCAGTTCTAGGAGTCATTCGCCCTCATTACTTTAGCACTAGATAAAACGATAGTTTTCAGCACTCCGCCTTTTGCACTATATAACCACCGGTGAGGAGACTTATCCACTCTTCTTAGGCCAGTCCCTGTGTGGTTATCACGAATCAGGCCATTATCTTCCTATTACGTTTGACACTAAGACAATGCAAAAAATGCCACATGGGCATAGGTCTCCCGTAGGCCTTTGATTCACATCCATTTCAGTACAAGCGGATTAGGTGGGATATAATCATGATGTATCATACTGCATGTAATTCTCTCCATCCGAATCAACCAATAATAGGCTTCAGTAATAAGGTACACACAAAAAGGAATTGGCCACAGAATAGCTCTCACAGAACCACATTCAAACTCTTTCGAGGTACGAATCAGTAGATTATTAAACTCTTAACAGGAAGCCAAAGTGATAGTACCCTTAGTTGGATCTTCCAAAAAAGACCCAAAGATAATTTTGAATCTGTGGGTACTGAGGAGGACTACTGAAATGTCACTCCTCGATCGCTTTCATTCACAACTATGTTGTTTTACCATCTGGTTTCAAGTAGGGATAAAATAAGAATCATACTTGTTCGTAATGAACATTTCACTTCTACTGCCTAAATTCGGTCTTAATAAACATGCACTTTGCTAATCCTGTTTACCAAATAAGAAGTAAGAGGTATATAGTACTCTGATCCTTATGATCACCCACGTATCAGAGGTAGTGTAAAATTAGATATAGGCTATATTCTATGCATCTTCGGTTACTTACCGTACCTCAAAGCATCGGAGCTCACTTAGAAAATAGAGTAGCTCACCAACCCCACCATGGATTATAGATATGAACAAGGTGTTTTCGAAATGATTTAGCATCGGACTGAATGCTGTGGTCCATGAAATTACATGATAAGTTTTTTGTATATTGTTCTTGTTTGTAATATCTATTTCCAAAGGTAAAATGTCCGCTGCATCAGCTGCTCTATGCGTCAAGGTCACTTTCAGTTGGCCAATCAGATCTCGGGTCCTTTCATACCTTTGTTATTAAACCCGGTTCACAACCATCCTTGGTCTGCCCGGCACAATGATGGTAACAAGCTCAAGAAACACTGTGGGGATCTTTGGAGCGCCAACCAATAATGTACCTAAGGCAGTGCTTCCATCTGTAAAGTCCCCCAAAAAAGGTCGCCGTCTGAAAAAACGTCTGGAAGTTTCCGAGACAAATTCGGAGTCACATCAAGAAATCACTTCTTCTAGTCATTGTAGAACTTTCGAAAATAACCTTATTCCTGGCCGAAGTCTTTCACCACAAACCTCCAGTCTTTGCACACCAACTCACTTTTCAAGCACTCGCTGCCAAGCAGTAAGTTCATACAGCCTCCTGTACAATTCTTAGTTTTACTACGCTATTCAGGAAAAATTATTCTCTTCTTTGTCTCAAGAAAAATTACTTTACATTGGTAATGAGCATTTGCTAGCTGTGAACTCAGTAAGCCATCATTTTTGTACGATAATATCTTCAGGATTTGGATGATAAAGTTGACGCAGCATTGAGAGCAGAAACTTTGTTCAAATTGTGGTCCTTACATAGCGCCTATTATTCGCTTTCCTCCATCATATTCTGCAAGGCAGTGTGTTTAATGGATTTACTGGTTGCTAGAGTCAAAGTAAGCTTGGAATTTATTTGTATATAATGACTATATAGGTTAAACCAAAGTACGCAATGTGCGTGGCCGCTGCATGCTACTACATCACTTCCAAGTTCGAGAGATCATCCGTAAGTATATTTTTAAGAATTCAACGAACATGTATACAAGCTTTTAAATGCCTGATGTTACAGTATACAAGGGAGCTCTTGAGTTATTAAACTCGTTATTTTTAAGTATTTTACTCAAAGCATGTTTTCCTGAAAACCATATACCACAATCGAGTTAACTGGTATACTTCGTTTGTAAAATCTTTACTTTTTCTGTTCGGTTTCATCTCATAATCCGCGCAACTAACCTTCCGTTTCCATCAAGTGGACCTGGTGCGATCTCTTTATGATAGCTCAGTAAAATATACAAAGGGATCTAAGATTGTTTTTTGTTAATAAATTCTAGCCGAGTTAGACGTGCGTTATTGCTATCTGTTTTGCTTTTGCATGCTGGCGTTACACTTACCCATAATTGACCTATGGTAGGTCTCATACTTTTGTCATATGCTGCCAACTACATCTGTAAAACTTAGAAAGTAAACCTTGGAATTATTTTTTGTTGTTACTGCCTTAAGTTTTTACCAGTATTAAGCAGTTAAAGGTCAAAGATCTAAATAACTAGGTCTTATTTATTTATTGATTTACTATGCTAACGACGAAAGGTGATCAATGTTAAGTGTGGTGACTATTCTTACGTTTCATTTTGTTGCTCGCTTACATGTTAATTTTTCATTTAGTTCCCGAAGTTACGATATCACATATATTAGAATATTCATTTTGAGCTTCATTTTTGCATCCACTTGACTTCTCCTAGCTGCAGTTTCATCTGAATGTAGTTTATTGCATAAATTACAAAATTTAACTGGTTTTTTCTTTACTGCCTTAACCTGATTGTACCAGTGTCGTACTATTTTGTAGGAACACGTTTCACCCACACCTGAAAGCCTTGTAACGCTATCACGATGTGGCGGCACAGCTGCTGATCTGACACGAATGGTGGAAATTATCCTTACAAAGTTGGGGCCTTCCAGCGTTGCTGCTATCGGTGCATGCTCGGCTACAGCCATTGATTTTCTGTCCATTTTCTCCTCGTTCAGCATCCCGTTTGCGTCTTATCAGAATGAATCTAGAAATCAAAACTCTTGGTTGCCTGTCCCTATTTCTATTTGTCGTCAGATCGAAATAGCTCTAGTCTCCTCAGAGGTATCGTGCTTTCGTCCTTCGTGCCTAGCACTGGCCTTGCTCAATCATCTTTGTTTTAATTCAGCTGTGGGGTCACTGGGTTCAGCTGACGATTGGCTGCAGTTCCATACGTCTGACCTCTATAATTTGTCACTTATATGTAACGTAAGTAACTTTAACGCCTAATTTATATTTGTTAAACAAATTTCACTTTATAAATTCCCTTCTCATCACTTAGAAATGACATCTTGTTTGACCAATGCATTTTTAATGGGCAATAAGCACATCCATAATAATTCTTGATTTTGGTGGAAATATTACTTATATATGTTTAGTGATCTCTCTGATTACGGATATATATTATTTCCTGGCTGATCCTAACAGTCTACAACTTCTCGTTTGTTTTTGACTCACATCAAGTAACCCTACAAGTTTTACACCATACTTATACTGAAGTTTTTGGATTTTGGAAACAGCACATTAAATAAGTTCTAATGGTTGATAATAACATAACTTATCGTAATCTACTGAAATATGCTGCCATTAAAAAAAACTAAATGCCCTCATCGGCAATCCCACATTTATTTTGAGGTCTGCTGGTCAAATGAGCTTATCAAACACAATTACAGTCGATTATGGGATAGCTGTTAAAAGTAAAAATAGTTATTTGCGAAATCTGTTTTTTACTAAGGTTGAATTGCTGATATTTTTTATATTTAGTTATCATTAAATCATATTGCGAATGATTGTGATTTTACTGTTCAGAAGTTTAGTAAATACTTTCTTAAATACACCCTGAAAGCAGACTCAAAACAGCTTATTATCAATGTGTTCGCAAATCTAGAACCAACTGGTGTTTTACAGTAGCTTTTTGCTAAAGAGACATACTTGTGGTATTTAGTAGCTCTTATTCCCGGGTTGAGTCGCTTCGCATTTTAGGTAGTGTAACTTATGTTGTATTCCAATCTTATCAGAATTTCCACAAACGCTTTGAAGAAATAGTATGAAGCTTAGCGGGAATACTCAGGTTGGTAACTTAATGATCGAAAAACTCATTTGTAGGTTGTTGATAATAGTTATGATCTAACCCATTTATATGTGTTATTTCCATTCCGGAAGTTAAACAACTACTTTTTCCTTTACAACACTGTACATAATTATCAACCTTGGTTTTTTTCCAACTTACTCCTACACCAGCAAATATTGTGCGTCTAGGTATGCGGTGGTTAGATACCTCAGTCAATGTATGTTTATCATTTCAACCGATTTTCCATCTTGACCTTACGTCTAACGTCAGCGGAGGAAAGTGGGAAAGAGGCTAGCGAAATCACAGTGACAATAAGGTAAATATATAGAAGAAAACCAAAGATGATCTTACTAAGACAACTGGCACTAATTCTGAGTTATTTAACTTCCAGTGTTTTACAGTTTACAGACCTCAAACAACAAGTCTTTATACTAGGTATCATTACCAAGATTTGATTTGATAATTTCGAATAAGTCTTTGTACTGTTTGGACTAACGGTCATGGACATATGGTATATCTTTGACAGCAATCAGCATTATATTCAACCTTCTCTTTTGATGGGCGGTGTAATGCACCAGGATAAGCTGTCTTTAAATGCTTTTGGAGTAAATCAAAGATTCACTTCACCAAGCAGTTTGTTAGAATGAGTACTCAATTCAGTTGTTTACTGTAAACACAACATAAATTATGAATAGATTTACCATAAATCCATATCCAATTTCGAGGAAATATTTAGCTAGATCCGTTTCTCAACTATCTCCGTAATAGTTTATTATAATTTGTTATTTTTAGCCTCAATAGCGAGATACTAATGGTCTCATTAAATATGAGCACTGCCTCGAGGGTCCGTATTATTATTTCTAGTAATCCATATATATCTTCAGATAGTATTTTTTACGGCCTAAAAGCAGTATAGAGTGAACTGTTAGTTTCACCAAATACAAGTTCATATATCTGACTCTAAATCACCTTATTTTGTAGATTTTTAAAATAATATGACTTATATACCTACTTTGGATTCTTGTACTCGTAATTGAACCACACTTTAGGTGTAACAGTATATGTAGTGGCGTTCAGACCAACGATATAGCGGTTAGGAGTCGAACGACTTCAAGTTATCTCTCCAACTCGGTAAATATTAATGATCCTTCAGATTATGGTCAAGCATCTGATATGATAATTTAATTTTCTACCTTTAGAAAGTACTTCATTGATTTTTTCTATTTGGTCTATGTGGCGAGTTAGACTAACGAACATTTTTCTCGGACTCCACGTTGATTATGACTGGCTGATTTAATTTGAAAAACCTACTCACGAATCGTTTCTCATTTTATTTTGCAGATTTCTTGGACTGATGTTGTTGCATGTTCTTCCACATTGAAGGAAGCACTTACCAAAACATCGGGATCCTACACAGTTCAGGATTACCCTTCATCCCGTCTATTAGGCAGCTCCCCACCACTTGTGTGGACGTTATCAAGGCGCACACAACGCAGCATTTCTACATCTTCTCCTCCAGCTCTTTCAACTATCACAGAGGTAGATGAGGAGCGGGTTCTTTTAAATGATATTTTTTCGAACATGGATTTGGGTTTATAGTAAGTCCATTCATAATTTTTTCTTCTATGGAAATTAACTGAACTAACCTTTCTGGTTGTAGACTAACTTATTTAAAGAATCCATTCTCCTTAAAAGCTTCGCTTCATTGTTTTTCGTTTGCCCACCATATGCTGGAAATGATTCCTTTACACAGAACTTCATAAATTTCAAAAGTCTGATCACTATATAGAAACTAAGTCCCACAACTCTGATGGCTTATAATATCCCTCCATACCTAGTCAAATAATGTATTGTTTAGTATTTTGTGGTGAAGAAGGGTGTTTTACGAACAATTTTAACACATCTCATTTGTTGCTTTTATTTTATTTATTTATTTCAACACATAAAGAGTGGTACAAGAGGCCACCAAATGTATATGCGCCACACCGTATTGTTGCTAATTATTCAGTAGGTTAAAAAGTATACAATTTAAGAGCAAATCGATCAATCAACGCTACAATATCCCGAGATTCTTAATTGAAATACTGTTCAGGGATGTAACTAAATATGCTAATTTTCAAACCATATATTTTGCTCAATGACTACGGTCTCACTAGATCGTTTGAATAAAATCTCTAGCATCTCGGGGTTCTCGTAATTCCAGGCAAAACAGTTAATTATATGAATGTGTAGATCACAAAAACACTTCTGTTTGAAGGTTTTGCTAGTTTGAAAACTCAATACATCATACAACCGTCGTTTCTCAATCCTTTCTACTATTTAGTAAAGCGCTTAAAATCTAAACTAGGTCTCTTGCAAATCCATAAAAAATTCGTTCGTAATGTGCATACGTTTTGGAACTCCCTGGTTCCAAAATTAAATTTAATGCGTAAGTTAACGATCTCTAAACAGTCGTATCACCTTCAGTTTTTTCTTTGCCTGTTACAACTTACCATTACAATACAACTCTTTCAGATGTTATCGTTTATGTAAAGTAGTTTATTCGGGTAAAGTTTCTTATGATGTTGTTTGATACCAATTATTTGGTTTATTGACAATAAGATACTTTGACATTTTCATGTTGTTGTTGTTTTTCTCAATATTGCTGTCCATCCATTAAATAATGTCTGGTATCGTAATTATCCAACCTGTTCTTTCGTGTCTGACGGAAATATTATCTCGTCTTTTTTTGTAAAATACATCTCACCAACTTTATATGAGCTATTGAATTCTTGAAAACTAATTAGATCTATCATACCATTGTTTAAGTAAGATAATGTTACCAAGCATCCAGTTCTAAGTGGTCAGCGCTTGTGACAAATCTAAAGCAGCAAGTTCCAATAAGAAACAAATACAAATGTTCACAAGTTTAAAATCTATAAATTACTTTCCAGTTAGTCAGTGGATGATGTAAATCAGTTTGTAGTCTTGATATAATAAATTGTCTTAATTAGTCATTCAATGATAATCAGACAGCTAGGTGTAAATTGTCATCTAGCATTTGACATTAGTGTTTCTAAGACCCAAGAGATATTGGAAAAAGTACAGTTTTATACTTAAGATGATATATCTCAAAGACTATTTTAATGACAGATTCTTCTAGTTCATATACCCTACACTATAAAGCAAAAGTTGATTACACTTGAATGTGTCTATGAAATAAGTGATGTGCATTTTTTCCCCTGTTAAATCCAAATAAAACTAATCTATCTATTTGGACAGATAAATTACATTTTTTTGTGTCTGACTAATTCATTTTGCTTGGTATTAATTGTTTCATTCTAATTTGCTTTTTAACATTTCCTTTCAGAAACTTTGACGAGGCATATTCAAATTTTCACGTTGTATCATCATTTTATTCAAATATCCTCCCATCCTATTATTTTTCAGCTTTTATAATCCTAATATAAATTTTGATCATTAAACCAATCTGTGATTGGGAAATTCAAGGGGAAAAAATCTTTTTAAACTTACTGTGAGAAAAAAAAGAAAAGATAGAAATTTCCATTCCTGTTGTTATTTGTTATTGTTGTCTCTGAACTATTACCCTCTCCTCAAATTTTAATCAGTTGTGTACAAATTTCAAAATTATTTGTTTTTTAGAGAAAAAAAATTAACAATCAGTTTACTTTATTAGTTATTATCAGCAGCAAAACTACAGCTCAATGTATACCAGTACTACTATCAGCATATCTTCAATTTACTTAATTGTTGTTGTTTTTTTATTATTTCTGTTCACATTGTCAAATTACATAAAATCAAACAACTGTACTTGACTAAGGCTATTTTTTTCCTAATATTTGTTTACATATATATATATATATATATATATATATATATATATATATATCAACAGCGAAAATCATTGAAAATTTTCCACAATAATTTCAGTTCTTCCTTTTTTGTATCGAAAATAAATTGTGATCAATAATATATTACTACTGCTACCATTTATCCTACTCTCTCCGCCTAATTGACCTTTTTTTTCCTTACAACTTTTATACTGAACTTCTAACTTAGGAAACAAGTGAAATAACAAGACAGATTATGTATGTATCGGTCTTATCTTAGTTCCTCTTTCTAGTCCGTTTATGCATTCATTTTATCAACAACAACAAAAATTTTATGAGAAAAAAAGTGCAATAAAAATATTTTTCGAATTGATTTTTTTTCTCTAGTTTTTGTTTTGTAATAGTTTCAATGGGTTTTCGATTATGGATCTATTTAATTAGTTAATCTATAGTTTTTCATCGTATTAGGTTGATTTTCAATCCGTTATAAAGTTTAAAATATAGATGTAATTCATTAAGATTAGTATATTATCTTCCAAACTAAGTAAATAGATATATAATACTAAACCATGAATTATTATGTTCATTTACAAAAGAAGCAATTTGTAAAATAAAACATGTATCATTATACAAAAAATGAATAATTAAATACAAAGAATACTTGTGTTTAATAGTTCTTATGTAATTTTATTTAGATATTTATGCCGCTGCATATTTTCCGTTGGATTTTCATGTTAAACGAAATGATGCAGAAACTAGGTTGTTTCCAGTCTATTATTTGTGGGTCGGTCCTATACAAAAGTCACGTAGGTAGATGATGTATGCTCGTTATTGAAAGCTGTTTTAGCAAGTAAACATGACTTGAAATATCGTATTTCATGCTTTCAGTGAGTTTGTCAAGTTACAGGTGAACAAAGTGGGAATAGTATTACGTGTACTAATGTTATCGATGTGTAATCAGCATCTAGAACTTTATCAAGTAAATAATTATGCCTGTTACTCCTCGTGAAGGAGCATAGGCCGCTCACCAGCATTCCCCATCCAACCCTGTCCTGGGCAATCCTTTCTAGCTCCGTCCAGTTGTAATTCATCGTTTTCATATCTGCTTCTATTATCCGACGCAATGTGTTCTTTGGCCTTCCTCTTTTTCGCTTCCCTTCAGGATTCCAAGTTAGTGCTTGCCTCGTGATGCAGTTTGACGATTTGCGTAATGTATGTCCTATCCATTTCCATCTTCTATTCCTAATTTCTTGTTCAGCTGGAAGCTGGTTTGTTCTCTCCCACTGGAGGCTGTTACTGATGGTATCCGACCAACGGATGTTGAGTATCTTGTGTAGACAACTATTTATAAATACTTGTACATATCTGATGATGGTTGTTGTAGTTCTCCAAGTTTCAGCTCCATACAGTAGAACTGCCTTGACATTCGTATTGAAGATTGTGACTTTGATATTGGTTGAAAGTTGTTTTGAGTTCCATATGTTCTTCAATTGTAGGAATGCGGCCCTTGCTTTGCCAATCCTCACCTTTACGTCTGCATCTGAACCTCCTTGTTCATCGATGATGCTTCTCAGGTATGTGAAGGGTTCTACATCTTCCAGAGTTTCGCCATCAAGAGTGATTGGATTACTGTTCTCCGTGTTGTATTTGAGGACCTTGGTTTTCCCCTTGTGTATGTTGAGGCCTACTGATGCAGAGACTGCTGCTACATTGGCTGTCTTTATCTGAATCTGTTCACGTGTACGTGATAGGAGGGCTAGGTCATCTGCGAAGTCCAGATCGTCTAATTGATTCTGAGCTGTCCATTGTATGCCGTGTTTTCCCTCAGATGTCGAGGTCTTCATAATCCAGTCGACCACCAGAAGAAAGAGGAAAGGAGAGAGTGGGCAGCCTTGTCTAACTCTGGTCCTTACTTGGAATGCATCTGTCAGCTGTCCTTCATGCACTACTTTGCACTGTAGTCCGTCGTATGAGTTCCGGATAATATTGACAATCTTCTCAGGAACTCCGTAGTGTCGAAGAAGTTTCCATAATGTCCTCCTATCTACACTGTCAAATGTCTTTTCATAATCAATGAAGTTGATTTACAGTGATGAGTTTCACTCAACTGATGGTTCGACGATCACCCGTAGTGTCGCAATTTGGTCTGTGTACGACCGGTCCTTACGGAATCCAGCTTGTTCATCTCGAAGTTGGGCGTCTACTGCATCTTTCATCCGGTTCAGCAACACTCTGTTGAAGACTTTCCCTGGTATTGACAGTAGTGCAATGCCTCTGTAGTTTTCACATTTGCTCAGATCTCCTTTCTTTGGAATCTTGGTGAGGTGTCCTTCTTTCCAGTCCATCGGCACTTGTTCCTCCTCCGAAATCTTTTTGAATAGAAGGTGAAGCATGTTTGTAGTTACTTCGATGTCTGACTTCAGTGCTTCAGCTGGTATGTTGTCAGGTCCTGCTGCTTTCCCGTTCTTGATTTGTCTGATGGCCATTCTGATTTCTTCCGTCGTTGGTGGATTGATATCTTTAGGAATGTGTGTGTGTGCTGCTTCGATATCCGGTGGATTCGTTGGAGCCGGCCTATTCAGGAGTTCCTCGAAGTATTCTACCCATCTGTCTCCCTATCCTTGAATTTCAGTGATGGGCTTGCGTTTTTATCTTTGACCGGTCTCTCTGGTTCACTATATTTTCCTGCCAGTTTCTTCGTCGTATCATATAGTTGTTTCATATTTCCTTCTGTTGCGTCTTTTTTCGCTGTCGTTGCTAGCTCTTCCACGTAGTTCTGCTTGTCTGCCATAATGCACTTCTCCACTTGCTTGTTTGCTTCTATGTACTCAGCTTGTGCTTGGACTCTCTCTGCTCGTGTTCGGCTGTTGTTAGTTGCTGTCTTCTTGTTCTTCCTTTCCTAGATCCTGTCCAGTGTTTCTATAGAGATCCATTCCTTATGATGGTGCTTATTTAGGCTCAGAACCTGCCGATACGTTGAAGTTAATGCTTCTTTGATCCATTTCCAGTTGTCGTCCATAGTAGTTTCTTCTTCGTCAGTAGATCCTGTAAGGCTTGGAACCTGTTGTTGAGAGTTATCTTGAATTCATTGAGCTTGTCAGTATCTCGAAGGGAGGCTGTATTGAACCTTTGTGGTGCTGTTTGTCCAGTTGTCCAGTTCTTCTTTAGCTTCAGTGTTAAATTGGCCACAACTAGGTGGTGATTTGAAGCTATGTCAGCTCCTCTCCTGGTTATCACGTCTTTTATTGTCTTTCTGAATTTTTATTGATGCGAATATGATCTATCTGGTTCTCTGTAGTGTGGTCCGGTGAGACCCTTGTAGCTTTGTGCATATGTTTGTGTGGAAATATTGTGCCGCCTATGACCGATTTCTTGAATGCACACAGACTTGCAAATCTTTCTCCATTTTCGTTCCTCTCTCCCAGTCCATGTCGTCCCATAATATCTTCATATCCGATGTTGTCTATTCCGACTTTGGCATATAGATCTCGCATCAGAATGGTGAGGTCCTTTCTTCGGCACTTCTCTGTGGTTGATTGCAACCTCCCATAGAATTGGTCTTTAATGTCATCATTAGTGGGTGCATAACACTGGATAATATTCATTGTGATCCCCTCCTTCTTTGTTTTGGATGATGCTTTGATGATTTTGGATCCATGAGATTCCCATCCTACAAGTGCATTTCGCGCTACTTTTGACAGCGTTAAAGCAACTCCCCGAGTGCGTGGAGCATTTTCCTCTTCGTGGCCGGAGTATAGCAGCATCTCTCCCGTATTTAGCCTTTGTTGTCCAGCTTGGGTCCAATAGGTTTCTCTGACTCCCAGTGTTATATCTGAGCGAAGATTAAGTCACGAGTAACTTCTGAGATATATTAATTGACTAGTATTATCTATACATTCTTATGGTATAACTTTCAATAATCAGATTATGTATATTTATATTCCTCTTATTATAAGCTTCATTTTGACCCATAATTTATTATTATACGACTTACTGTCCCTAAATTATGCTCAGTTTACTAACTAATGCCTTCCACGTTCCAAAGGAACTCGGCTTTCACCATGAGGCATCATATTTTTTCTGAATGAAGACCTAACTCCCAGGGCGGAGTTCAAATGGTTTGAACTATTTTTTCTGGTTAGCGTTTTTTAGCGAGTTAATTCTCTACGGGATGGGGTCGCTAAACTCATGCCCAACCCTCCTCCTTTACTCGGGCTTGGGACCGGCAGTAACTCAAGAACAGCTACAGGCGAAGTTATCAAGTAAATAGTTGCCGTAAAAAACATCTTGCTACAGAACGGACAATGTATAGCCAACGTTAACTTTTTTGTCCTTTCTAGATTTTTTTTAGTTCTAAATGAATTTTCAGTGATCCAAACTTCCTTTTATGTTTGTGATTTCAAAATTGAATGGATGTTCGGTATTATGAATGCCTGATACTAGTGTCGATAAATGAATATACTTAATTTAATTTTCAATTATTATCACTGTTACATCATGTGAAGTTTAGCACCATTGGCTAAATTTTACTAAGAAAGTAACATTGTTTTCCAGTAATAACAATAAGTACTATTTACATTTACATCTGTAGAACAAATAATCTTTATTATTGTAAAACTAAAAGGTAAATCACAAGACTGGGTAGTTATTGACTAGTTTTAACAAACATTCATCATAACTTTATTTCTTGAGAAGTATAAGGTGGTAAAAGCAGAAGATTAGAAAAGCGATAAATGTACACTCTACCTTAAGTGAGGCATACAAAAGGTGTTAGTGATCATGTTTTGGACTCAATTTGTCATCGATTGCTTAAATAAACTTTAATAAAATCTCAGGAAACACCAAGTCAATATATATACATCCTGATGTTGATAATTTTAACAAGGAATGTTATTACGGATACGGCCTGAGAAATCCTGATGAGTAATCCAAATATGAAATAAGTCATCAGTCTTATCACATACCATGAAATATTTGTCACTGAAAAATTGA